CTCCTCGGCGGCCTAGCTCCAACAGCTCCACGACTCGAACTCCCTCCTGGTGCTCCTCCGACTCCCGGGGATGGCGGCAACACTCTCTGACCGACAAGCTGAGGACACTCCGCAACTCTATGACCAACAACCCCACAGCGAAAACACTTAAACGCCTGGCCATAACAAACTTGGCCCGGATGCACCTTCCCACACTTGCGACAACCAACCGACTTAGCTTGAACCGAAGGCTCCATCCTAACTGGTCCTTGGGAAGAAGATGGCACAACTCTAGCCAGAAAACTCGGTCGGGGCTTCTTGAAAGCAAAAGAACCACCACTCTCAACTCTCTTCCTAGCCAACTCAAGCGAACTCTTCTGAAGCTGCTGAACACGAAACAGATCCGCGGCACACAGATACGCATCCTTGAGGGAACTGGGTCTACTCACCGTCAACGCTTTTCGTGCCTCATAACTCAGACCAGCAACGAAACGCTCAACTTTGGCAAGCTCTGTAGGCACCAACACCCTCGCGAAGCGCGCCAGCTCAAAAAACTTCTTGTGGTACTCCACCACAGATAGAGGTCCTTGCTGCAGATGAAGGAACTCATCAAACATGGCGGCTCGCACATGCGCTGGGTAGAACCTTTCGCACATCCTGTCCTTGAGCGCGGTCCAATCAAACCCAGGCTCTTCAAGAAAGGCCGGACTCTCGTGAACCCACCACAGATCAGCTTCTTGGCAGAAGTAGAACGTTGACAGTTCTACTCTCCTCTCTTCGGGACAACCCACCACGGTAAAGATCTTATCAAACACCCGTAGCCACTCTTCAAGGACTATAGGGTCTTCTTCACCAGCAAAGGAAGGCGGCCGATGCCCAGACACAAGGCGACCCACATCACGGTGCCCAACCGGAGGCGGAGGCGGCGCAGCTTGATTGTTGTTCAACAGAGCTTCACTGAGAGACTGCATCGTCTGCGTCAGCTGATGGAGATTCTGGGCGAGCTGCTCGTTGGTCGGGGTCTCTGGGGAGCGGGCGCGAGGACGAGGAGGCATCGCACTTCTGCTACAACAACAAGGTTACCACAAAAAAGCAAGCAAGCAAGACAGAAAACAACACACATCTCACCGCGCAACCTAGAGTCCTAAGCCTAACACTTAGCTTCTTAAGGTCCCTTAGAGGTCTCAAAACACATTTAAACACTTAGAAAGTCTAGACTCAACTCTTCCTAGGCTCTAAACCAAGGTTCAAACCTAGGCTCTGATACCAACTGTAACACCCCCAAAATAACAAGACCTAAAAACAAGTCTTAACATATGCAGATTAACAACAAAACACTAGCACAGCGGAAGATAGAAAGATAACTGGATAAAAGGAATCCAAAATGGGGTGTTATGCCACGTATACCACACTTGGCATACGCTACGGCGACAATCTGCAAGTGTAACACTATCCCAAAAACAACAAATTAGAACAATCTAGAGACATTGGCACACAGGCCTCAACAACACTGTCTAAAGATACAGGTGCAAAGCTACCGGCTCTAGACATCGCGCTCGACTACGCATCACCTGAAAGATACAAAGATAAACATCGGGGCGACGCCCGGTCAGCGAAAGATGCTGGTAACCCACCAATACCGTTAAGTATCATAAATAGGTAGATATAAGATATAAAAACCATTTTCGAAACGGAATACATATATATAAGTCAAAAGCCAAGATCAAAAGACAACACAAGACTCACCACTCACAAGGATAACACCGGGAACACATCCCAACCACAAAGGTTAACCACACACAAGGATAAAGACTCACCCAACGGAAACACATGCCAAAACACCACACCACAAGCCTCCGTGACTACACACGTCACGAGAGAAGAGAACTCACCACAACAACGGCTTCACAAGCCCTCGTGACATCACCCATCACGAGTTGATATGCCTTCCTTATGCCCTGTTCCAACCTTATGGCTGCCCCGAACCTTGTACCTTCGGTGCCAACCATTACCTACAGAAAACCCCTGTACAGCCAAGTCCAACCTTATTCCTCCGGGACCGTCGTCCCCCACCTATAACCACCAACGAAAACCCACCAATTCACGGCAACACATGCCCGGATAACACAATGTTATCACCCGAACACGTGGACTCAGCCACAACTCCATGAAATCACGTCACGGCCACCACGAGGACCGCTGCAATACCTTGGTGACTAGCGTCCCATACCACTAATCGTGCAATCCAGGTAGAGCCACACACGCACCACCACTCACACGAAACAAGAAACAGATTGCAAAAGAAGGTATGAAACATACTCAATCAAGAGACAGGTCACCACCCATCGAGAACAACGACGCTAGCATTAGGATAATAACTAGCAAGCTCAACAACGAGGAAACTCAAGATAGTTCCGAGGAACACACAAGACACCACACGGTTCAACGAAACACAATGTTGAACACTTAGCACGATACACAACACCAAAGATCCTACATGGATACCTACCATAAAGCTCTAGACCTACGAAACATCAAGAAGACGCTCAAATAGTTCCACAAAAGAACAACGGGAGGCCAAAATATCAAAGACCGAGACAAACAAATCACGGGGAAAAAATCCCGAACCAAACGCCATCGTGTACCCCGCGGGTGGACCCACGGGTAGTGCCCCACCCGTGGTCCCGCCCGCGGGTTCACTACCCACAAGGCACATGTTCCCCGCGGGTAGGCCGGCGGGTGATGCCCCGCCCGCCTTTCCGCCCGCGGGTACATCCCTGTACAACAACAAATCCCTTCGGGGATTTTCTTCTCCAAACACAAATTCAAGTCCAAAACATGCCAAATCTCACCAAGCACAACAAAATGACTTGAACCAAGGAAAATGCCAAGCAATGGCACAAAGGAATCCTAAACACAAGCTCTAGATATGCAATATCACAAGATAAATGCATAAACTCTCACATTTCATAGCAAAACACAAATAGAAGCTAAGAAATCATATATAGGTAAGCAAAATAGGTTTTGTAGAGCATGGGTTACCTCTTGAAGACCAAAAGACTCTTCTTACACCACAACAAGCTCTCCACTAAGCTCACTAGCCAAACCCACTTCAAGATCAAACCAAAAGATCATAAAGATCCAACCTTTAAGAAAAAGACAACTAAGATGGAACCAAAAAGACTAGACAAGCTTAGACCTTACCCTTCTAGATGCCAAAATAGAGGAAAGATTGAATCTTGGAAGCAAAACTTGGAATCTTGACAAAGGCTTCTTTTGGCTTGAAGAACAAGCTACTCTTGTTTTCTAGAGAGAAGGTAGAGATATTTTCTAGGAAATGTAAGGGAATGAAATGAAGAAGTCTTCTAGGTTTAGGTTACAAAACTAGCTCTTGGTGAAAAGACAAGGATACCCTTACTAACTCTTAGAAAGTGTAAGGAACAAGGGAACTCCTCTCAAAGCACAAGGTACAACACCACTTAAAGATTGACTAGTCAAATACTAGTCCTTGAGTATCAAAAATCAGGATTTTAGGAATCAATTCCTTAAAAGAAATAGAATTAATTACTCAATTAATTCATGGTTTGGAGTATGGATTTTTGGGGTGTCACACTGGATGCGTCAGCGGTGTGTAGGATCGTGATCCGACGTTGAGTTCGTCAACGGTTCTAAAAGGGTTTGTTGCGATCAACTCCCCTCATACCGCGGTATTGAGGTAGGGTGCTGCGGGGCCATGTTAATGCTATACGCATTAACCCTCATGTTCAGGGCATGCGATTGGTCCCGTGGCGCCATCATTGAGTATGTGCTATTAATGATGACTGAATGATGATATGATGAAATCGGAAAGGGAACTGTGACCTTTGATGTGCATTTCTATGATGATATCTCTACTTAACTATCTATTACTGTTAACATGCTTACCTCTACTTGTCGAGTCTATTCCCGGTTTTAAAGGCTAGAGTCTCCTAAGTATATCTTCCTACTTCAAAGTGGTTTTCCTATATCCGTATCTATACATATTGTATTTCAACACGTTACCAGCATCTCTCGCTGAACAGATATATTTGACTTTTAGGCACGGATGAGTAGACACTAGAGCGCGCTAGAGACGTGAAGCGTAGAATAGATAGTTCCCTTTCAGCCTGCGTGCCATATTTATGTATTGACATTATTGAGGATCCTAGTTAGTTTGCCTGTGCACTTGGGTTCTCTAGCCCAGGTGTGGCATAGCACCCCATACTCTTATATTATGTTTCCGGGATTTTATAAGGATTACCTTTATTATATAAGTTTTAAATGTTCTAAAATTCTGGGGTGTTACAGTTGGTATCAGAGCCTAAGTTTGACCCCAGGATAAGACTCTTAAGACCAGACTTTAGGACATTAGACTTGAACTCTAGGTATTCAGGGATATAAGACTCAGGAATCTTAAGACGCGCAGTGAGATTGTGAGCCTACCCACCACCATCACATAACATCCCACCACCCTATCCCTCATTAACTTAAAAGAACTTCTCTTCGCTTATCACACCAAGGTAAGGGAACGACCCTCTAAATCAGTGTAAACATTGGTTCTATAGATCAGCAACATGGCAACGAACAGAAGACAATCAAGGACTCCAGAACCCACCACACACGACCCCCTGGCTCAAACCCTGCAGCAACTCACCCAGGTCGCCCAAGCACTAAGCGACGTAGCCCTCCGCAACAACAGACCACCATCGAACACAAACTTAGAAGTCGCCTGACAAGTCTCGAACCATCGACCACCCACGTTCTCGGGCGAAGAAGATCCCGCCATCCTCGAAGAATGGATACGGACCTTCGACAAAATTCTGGGGTTGGTGGAATGCCCCGAAGAACGCCGCGTGGAGATAACCTCGTTCTACTTCGGACACGAGGCAGATCTTTGTTGGACCCACGAAGGACCTACTTACAGGCAGGAACCAGGATTCAACTGGGAAAACCTGAAAACGCGCCTGCGAGAACGATTCTACCCGGCACACGTGAAAGCTTCGATGCACGAGGAATTCCTCCACCTAAAACAAGGCGCGGCGACCATCACTGAATACCATAAACGATTCCTCGAACTGGCACGCTTCGCGCTAGAATTAGTTCCCACGGAATCAACAAAAATAGAAAGGTTTGTATCGGGCCTCAACTTCGAAGCTCAGAAAGCACTAATAGTAAGCGGGCCCCGCACCCTCAACGAGGCTTACTCCAGTGCTGCCAACCTCTACCGAATCCAGCTACTACAACATGAGGTACAGGATCAGATTCGGAAGAGGAATACCGGAGGTGGTGCACCACCAATGAAGCGAACCAGAACCGACACCAACACCAGGCCAAACAACCCAGCCGGACAAAGAGCACCCCTAAGAAACAACGAAGCCAACGCGGGGGGCTTCCCTTGCCCAAGATGCAACCAAAGCCATAGAGGCAGGGACTGCATGGGGAACCCCTTACGGTGCTTCAACTGTGGAAAAGAGGGACACAAGGCCTTCCACTACTCGCAACCCTCAAGTTCGCGCCCCATAAACATGGGCCAACACGGAGGCACGAACAACCAAGGGAATCGCAGTGCCACCGGAAAGGTATTCGTCATGAGTCGTACGCAAGCCGAACTCGTGAACGAGGACACCCTCAACGAAGAAAACATGACCCCGGAAGACGAGGATCACGCAAACCCACCAGAGGAGAACCAAGAGGACGAATTCTGTTTAGGATAAGCTAAGAAACCCCTGTAACCACCCTCGTAGTTAGAGCTACTTGTTTAGTTTAGCCACTTTCAAATTATTTTAAATAAAATCAAAATATTTTAACCTAAGTAGGAAAGACCAAACAACAAACAACCACAAGAAAAATCAACCAAGTTCCACACCACTAGAAGACAAAAGAAGGAAAAAGACAAAGACTACACAACAAAGAAAAACTAATGTCACCAATGGGAATTGAACTCTAGACCTCCCACTTACAAGTCCAAGCTCCTAACCACTAAGCCATAAGTGTTTCTTAAAACCTTAAGGGAACACTCCCTTCTTAAAACCCTACAAATCCCTAAAACCCCAAAAATCCCCAAATCAAAAACCCTTCTTCTTCCTCACACCCTCCCACTCTCACCCTCACCCCCTCCCTCTTCGCACCCCACTCCAAAGCCGGCGAGCACCCCCCACGAAACCCACCAGCCACACGCCGCCGCCCGTCGACCTCGCACCACCAAACCACCGCCCAGCCGACCGCCCCGCCTTCGCCCGGAGGTCGCCCACGACACGCCCAGCCCCGACCCGCTGCCCAGCACCACCAGCCGCACGCCCAGCCATCGTCACCGTGCGCCACCCCCCCTCTCCTCTCCGTTCGAAACAGGAACGCCACCCAGGCCGAACCCGCCGCCAGAGCCTCGCCGGAATCCCACCGGAAAAGTCACCGGAAAATCTCGCCACCAAGAAACACTTCACAATGCCAAATAAACCCCTCGGAATCTGCACCCCGGAGTGGAGCAATGCCGGCTACACCGTGATCGGAGGTAAAGCCCTTGAACCCGATCAATTCTCTCCGGAATTGGTCGATATGCTTAATCACCAAGGGTTATTGGATACCTATCTCACTACTAAAGCGGATACATACCCCGAACTGGTGAAGGAGTTCTACCAACATTTGGTAGCTATCAAGCGAGGTGATAAAATAGAAATCACCACCAAGGTCCGAGGCAAGGAAATCATACTTTCCGAAGGCCGCTTGGCCAAACTCCTGAAATTAACCACCACAGGAATGTCGAGCTATGACCGAAAAGGGTGGATTGTTACCCAAAATACGGGGTACAAAGACTACCTCGGATACCTACTCGGAAAAGAAAAAGGTTTTACCTCGGCCACACGGCCAAATAGGAAGTGGCTAACCGCAGAACAAAAGATATTGGTTATGATTGCGACTGATAGCCTTTTGCCCACAAATAATAAAAGCAAGGATGTGGGGAGTTTGGAGTGTACTTTTTCCTATCTCTTAAAACACAAGATCAAGTTCAATTTGCCGGCCCTCATGTTGAAACACATGGAGTTTTACAAAACCAGCAACCGACTTAGCCTGCCCTACGGAATGATCCTAAGTTGGATCATGGAGAAAAAGGGGGTGGATTTGAGCCACACTGAGGTCAAGACCGCAAGTGGCATGGTTTTCAATGCTCAAAATCTCCGTCGCAATGATATCTACTACACCGAAGGGGGACAGTACATCACCCTCGAAGAGATTTGCCTTAAACCCGAGGAAGAACGAAGGGAACTGGTAGATCAGTTGGATATCTCCAACAAGAAACTCAAGCGGGCAATGCAAGAATGTGGGGAACCGGGGGAAAATGAGGAACAGGAAGAAGATAGCGAGCCCAATCCACCAGCACAGGCAAGAGGAGACCCAAGGGGCCAAAGTGGAGAAACCCTCAACGAACGCATCCTCGCACAACTCACCCGACAGAACCAGATCATGGACGAGGGATTCTCGTCCCTAATCCGCGCGACACGCGCAATGGATCAAAGGGTGGCTACCATCGAGGCCATGTTGGGCACCCGCGGGGCATCCAGCTCAGGAGCAGGGAACCAAGGTAGACCCGAACCCTCCAAAACTACCACCGCACCAAAGATCCAGTCTGCCCCAATCAAGACAACACGTGGAGCCACATATCCTAACCAGGGGGCCAAAATACGTGACGTCTAGGGGTGAAAGAGTGGACCCATGCACCGGCTTCGGGGACGAAGCCTCTTGTAAGGGGGGGAGAGTGTAACACCCCGTGTTACGACCCCTAACCCTAACAAAGTATTTAATCACTTGCCCTAAAAGGAGAATTAAAAACCCATTAATCAACTAAGAAAAGCCCACCATAGTCCATGGGCCCACATCCCTATAACCAACCCCTTAGTTCTATAAGGAATAGAATTAGCAAGCCCGTAGTGTTTAGACCCCAATTGGGACTCTTAGGAATATATATATATATATATATATATATATATATATAGGGTCATAGGAGGCACCTAGATCTTACACCACAATAATCTCTCACCACACAAGGAGTTCCAAGAATCCCCTTTAGGAGAAATCAAGAAAGAAGAAAGCTTAAAGAAAGACCCTTCATAGCCAAGGAAATTAATTAAGGCTAAGAGGTAACCCATGTCTCAACAAAACCTATTTTCTTAGCTATGATCTCCCTCTTAGGCCTCCCTCTATATTCTCGTGTCTTGATGAATTCTTCTATGATAGTTGTGTTATGATCTTGTTGATTGATAAGATGATTTATATGCCTTCTTGATGATCTTGATGTTGAAAAGAAGTTCTTGATTTTGATATAATGATTCTTGACGAATCTTGATATTTCTTGATGTTAAAGATAAAGTATGTTCTGGATGGTTTGGGCGGGATTAGAGCCCTAGGATGAATTGGGAATTTGCATTGTGATGTTCTTGATTTATATTTGGGTGGGAATTCGCACGTTCAGGTGTTGTTTATGTTTAGAAGTCGTGATAGGATGAGTCGTATGTGATTCTTGCTTTTGATCCGTTATTTGACTACGTGGTGTCGTTTATTACGTTTGAAAGTGTCCAAGCATGGTTTCGGGTTCCACAAAGGTCCCCGGGACGAAATTATGGTAAATGAGTCAGTGGGGGGTAGGTGGGGGGTAGGTGGGGGTAGGGGAACCCGCCACCTACCCGCTGCCCAGAATCACCGTCGGGCAGCGGGTAGCCGCCGGTAGGGCCGTCAATGCGAGCCGGCCCGCCCCATTAGGCCCGCCCCACTGCGGGTTTTTTTTTTCTGTGGGCTTTGGCGGGCTGGCCCGCGAAACCCGCGAGCTGGGAGATACCTAACCCAAGCCCGCCCCACGCAGACTCACGAGCCCCGTGGGCTGGCCCGCGGGCTTTTGCTAAATAAATAAAAATATTTATTTAAATTAAAATTCCTATATATATAATATAATAATAGAAATAAAAGCATTCCAATTTCACACTTCACACCACAATCTATCAATTCACAAATCCACAATCTTAAAATTTTAATACACATCAAAGTCAAACATCATAATAATATAGTGTCTTAAAATCCAAACATAACAAATAACAACAATATTGTCTTCAATTCAATCCACTCTTCAAGTCTTCAAATTATTGTCTAAGTAATGATAGTGACCTCTGAAAACTCGGATGGAACTGGGACAATTTCTTCAACACCATTAACATCGTCATCATCTATACATTAACCATCATTTAAAATAATCAAAAAATAATAACCATAATAATTGAATCATAAGAAAATAAAAAAATTTGAAGTAAAAATCAGATTTACCATGATCGGGGGGTTCAAAACCGCGTATCCAATTGCGAGCACAAAGCAAAGCTTGAACGTTTGAAGGAAGCATACAATTTCGGTATTTGTTCAACACACGACCTCCTATACTAAAAGCTGATTCCGATGCCACAGTAGTGATAGGAATACTTAATATATCGCATGCCATGTAAGATAACTCACCGAAGCGATGCTTATTTTCCTTCCAATAGTTCAAGATATCCATATCAGCAAACATCTTCATGTCCTTCTGCGGTTCATCCAAATACAAATCCAATGCTGATTTTCCATTATCAACATCATCTTGGTTACAATATTGAACAAACTCCTATATCATTTATAAGTATAAAAATATTAAAAAGTGTTTTATAAAAATATATAATAAAAGAAATAAAAGAATGACAAAAATGACATAAAAATAACAACTTACATCAATCATTTCATCACTTGATTCTTCTATTGTTGCATTTTCGCATGGAGGAGTGGTCAAAGTTGAAGAACTAGGAGCCGCGGTCATTGACTTGCTTTTATATGCTTCAAAGAGCATATACAACTTGCTTTTCACATAATCCGACTTTTGCTTGTAAGTATTTTGATCCAATTTTTTGAAGCAAAAATCCAAAAGTTTAAATTTCATTCTTGGATCAAACACCGCTCCCATAGCAAGAATAACACTATATTGTTCCCAATATTTTTGAAACTTTACTCTCATGCTACTAGCCATGTTTCTAAGAACTACATCCTCATTATTCAAATTTCTTTTCAACAAAAGCTCAATTTTCCATACTTGCATGAAGTATAAGTTGGAAGTAGGATAAGTTGAACCCGAAATCAATTTTGTAATTTCATTAAAAGGCATCAAAAATTCACAAATCTTTTCACCCCTAGCCCACTCCTCATTTGAAGGACAATGCTTATAATGACTGTCAAGTAAGTGAAGACTACTAAAAGCACGTCGGTACTTAATAGCACTATCAAGCATCTTATAAGTTGAGTTCCATCTAGTGGGCACATCTGTTGACAAACCAACTTTAAGTTGAAGACCAACTGTCTCAACACATTCTTCAAACACTTTCATCCTCCCCTCCGACCCTTTAACATATTTCACACTATCTCGAATTTTATTCAAAGCATCACCCACCACTTTCAACCCATCTTGCACAATAAGATTCAATATATGTGCAGAACATCTCACATGAAAAAATTCCCCATTACATAACAAATCCTTTTGCAAACATAGTTGTCCTTTCAAGATATTTTGCATAGTATCGTTAGCAGAAGCATTATCCAAAGTAAGAGAAAACAATTTTTTCTCTATTCCCCACTCTTTTAAACATTCTAGAAGCTTCTTAGCTAACTGAACACCAGTATGTGGGGGAGGCATAGCACAAAAGGATAATATTTTATTGTTTAACTTTCAATTACTATCAATATAATGAGCAGTTAAACAAATATATCCCTCAACTGTGCATGCTGTCCAAAGATCAGAAGTCAAACAAATTCTACTAGGAATTCTTTTCAAGTTACTCTTCAGTTTCTCTTTTTCCTTCTCATAAAACTTATAAACATCTGCTACTGCTGTATTCCTACTTATGAATTTGTAATCAGAATTCAAATACTTGTGCAACTCTCTAATTCTCTTATATTCAACAAAAGAATACGGCAAATCATGTTCAATAATGCTCATGTTTATCATTTCACGGACCACATTATGATCAATTTTTTTTGCACGCAACTTTCCTTCATGATCAATTAACACAGAACCCACATCATTATATTTAGGCTTTACTTTACAAGAAGCTAAATGACGGGATAAAGTTGATGTTCCATATTGGTGTGACCCCATCATATAATCTTTATGACAATATTTGCATCTAGCCTTTTGTTTATCACCAATTTCAATTACATCAAAATGATTCCACACATATGAAGTTTGACGTCTTTTCGTACCTCATTTTTGTGATTCTAAATTTTTAGCTTGCTCTGAAGGTTTAGGTGAAACCGGTCTATCCCCCGGCATATTAACTTCACAATCAACATTGATATAAGTGTTTGGAGAACTTTGCTGTTGAGAATCCATCTCCCTGCCATTAAAAAATATTAAAACAATGTTAACACAACATTAAAACAATGTTAACTCAATGAGCTCTATTTAACATGCTAATTTAACATTAACATGCTAATTTAATACAACTCTATTTTAAGTATTTAACAGTGTTGAAACATGTTAATTTAACATTCCTCTATTTGGGCATTCAAAAAAAAAAACATTCCTCTATTTGGGGGTAATTCAATTTCCCTAATCCTAAAGATAATTTGATATCATATAAAAACTTTCAATATAAACTGTAAATTTGAGCCACAACTATTTTGAATATATCTAGAGGCTTGCTTGTAAGCTGTAAGCAATATATAGGAAATTAACTTCAACCCTTAACTATTATATGCGAAAAAATTAAATATTAGCTAGAACTAGAAGTGTTCAATTTTTATTTGAATTATAAACTTTTCTATGCTTTAAAAAATTATCAAACAAATCCAACTACAATTTGTTTCTTCACAGCTAAAGGTAGAGTAAAGACAGAGGAATCTAAAAATGAATCAAGTGAAAACTCTTCTTTATCCTATTGTAGTTTTCAAATGTAGTAGCACAACTTAAAACCATACACACTCGGAAAGAATCAACACACTGTCAACAGAAATTTTCAGAACATTCATGTTAAAATACCTACTGAAATAAATTTCTCTTAATTTGAAATAGCAATCAAACAAAAATTAGGTAGCATACTTATAAGTTACAAAGACAGAAAGACTATATATAATGGAGTACTGGACAAATCCTAGGACAACTTACCCGAAACTCGAAGACTGACTCGGAGAAGAAGAAGAAATCAAATTAGTGGTGGACGGTGGCGATCGGCGGTGGACGGTGGCGATCGGCGAGGACGGACGGTGGCGACCGACGAGGACGGACGGTCGGCCGGTGATGGGTGAACGGCAGTGGGCGGTGTTTAGTTTCTGGCCTCTGGCTTCGCGAATCGCAAGGAAGAGATGTGAGATTGTGAGGTGTAAGTCTCTTTGTTTAATTAGAAATTATAGAATATATAAGGCTGTAAGGGGCGTAGGGACGGTAGGGTATGGATTGGTTTAGTCTGATTTCTACTCAAAAAAGAATTAAAAGGTTTTTTTTTTTTTTTTTTTTTTTAGGCTTGGCCCGCGGGTCGACCCGCACGGGTTTGCCCGCGCGGGCCGCGGGTCGAACCCGTTAGGCCCGCATTTTTGCGGGCCAGTTTTTTAAAGGCCCTAACCAGCCCCGTAGTGGGGCGGGTGCGGGCCAACTCGCGGGTTTTAGCCCACTTTGACAGCCCTAGCCGCCGGGCAGTCGCCTGCCCGCCGGCAAACTACTGCCGGAACAGTGAATTCCGGCGGGCAGCCGGCGGGTGACCCCCACCCACCGGCTACCCACTGGCCCTTACCCCACCCCGGGTCTCCGGCTTCCCCGTTTGATGTTCCCCATCCCCCACGGTATCCCAACGGACCCCGTTTGTCGTGCTCGAGTCTAGTTTGATATTCCGGGTACCATTCGTAGGTTAAATGAGTCTTAGGAATTGCATGCTAGTTGAATCGGTAACCCGTTGGCTTAGGTGGAAGTTGTATGAACCCTTAGGACTATTCTTAGTATGTGAATGATCACACATAAGACTATTTATATGTCTCTCCCCTCCCAATGTGTTATTACGTGCTCCTATGTATTATGTGTTGCATGATCCCCCATTTTGGTTATAGGCCAATTGGGTGGTTCCCGGGCTAAGGTTCGGAAGTCGGTTGAAGACCGAATGGATATTTCCCAGACTAAGGTTCGGAAGTCGGTTGAAGACCGAATGGATTGATCCCGGACTAAAGGTTCGGAAGTGGCTGAAGGCCAATGAATTGTCCTGGGTTAAGACTCAGAAGTGGCTGAGGCCAAATTAATTTACTTCTTGGACTACAGGTCCAACTATGGGCCTCGGTGCTACGACCCAGCGGACCTGAACGCGCCAGGACGGTGTGTAGGGCCAATAAGCCGAGGAAGGCTGTAGTCCACCGACCTGAGTAATCAGGCGGTGTGTAGGGCTACGGCTGGCTGCGATCCACCGAACGATGGGACAGCGGTGTGTAGGGCCATAGTCTCCGAGGATCTTCGCCCACCTACTGAGTACAGCTCAGGGGTAAGCCGGGCTTAGATCCGCTATGGTCCACCGACTGTGCGCATCGACGGTGTGTAGGGTCATTTGTCCCCCCTTGTGAAGGGGATCACGGTCCACCGACTGGGTGCGTCAGCGGTGTGTAGGATCGTGATCCGACGTTGAGTTCGTCAACGGTTCTAAAAGGGTTGGTTGCGATCAACTCCCCTCATATCGCGGTATTGAGGTAGGGTGCTGCGGGGCCGTGTTAATGCTATACGCATTAACCCTCATGTTCAGGGCATGCAATTGGTCCCGTGGCGCCATCATTGAGTATGTGCTATGAATGATGATTGAATGATGATATGATGAAATCGGAAAGGGAACTGTGACCTTTGATGTGCATTTCTATGATGATATCTCTACTTAACTATCTATTACTGTTAACATGCTTACCTCTACTTGTCAAGTCTATTCCCGGTTTTAAAGGCTAGAGTCTCCTAAGTATATCTTCCTACTTCAAAGTGGTTTTCCTATATCCGTATCTATACATATTGTATTTCAACACGTTGGAGTGGGTTACCAGCATCTCTCGCTGAACAAATATATTTGGCTTTCAGGCACAGATGAGTAGACACCGGAGCGCGCTAGAGACGTGAAGCGTAGAGTAGATAGTTCCCTTTCGGCCTGCGTGCCATATTTATGTATTGACATTATTGAGGATCCTAGTTAGTTTGCCTGTGCACTTGGGTTCTCTAGCCCAGGTGTGGCATAGCACCCCATACTCTTATATTATGTTTCCGGGATTTTATAAGGATTACCTTTATTATATAAGTTTTAAATGTTCTAAAATTCTGGGGTGTTACAGTCCATACAAGGTCTCTTCACAACAAGACATCAACACAAAGCCAAACAAATAGATCAAAACATACTTAACACAAATAAATGAGATCCAATCCACTACTAGAATTCTAGCCAATCATTGTAAAACTCAAGATCAAGCAATGGCAAATAGGTAAAACAAGATATTATCAAGAGGAGAACAATAATAGTTTTTACCCAAATCCAAGCTAAATCTCTTCAATAGATGATAGGGAATGAAGATCCAAGCTACAAGCTCTCTAAACCTTCAAATCTCATTTACATATTAATTGGATCTTGGCTAAAACCCTAGAAAGAAACGAAAGGAAGAAAACTAAGCCTAACCTAAAGCTTCTCTCTAAAATCTTCTCTCTAAAATTGTAGAACTAGAATTGGACTCCTTACCAAATGCTGATTTTTTCCCTTAAATATCCCAATCTGGTTCGCATTTCTATTCACGCACGGCCTCACGCCGTGAGGCTAGCGTGAATGGGATATAAATCCCTTTGTGTTGAGATCTTTGTCCACCGCTTTAAATCATCATTCACGCCGTCCTCACGCCGTGAGGAGGGGCGTGAATGGGAAGTAATTCCCATTCCGTCCCTCTTCTCGTGCATAGTCCCGGCGTGTCCAGTCCTTGTTCGCGCGCTTGTCTCGGCTTTGCTTATCTTCGCCTTTTTACCATGTTTCCTATCCATAAACACCTGAGAATGAATAAAATGTAGTCGGAAAGGTATTTATGTGCTAAGCTCGTACTTTTATGATATTTTGCTCTAAAAACACGACTTCTAAGTTAAAACTAGTGCACAATTCCTTAGAAAAACTACTGGAAACCTAGTATATTTTGAGACTTATCATCAACCAACTAACTTATTCAAAATATTAGTAATTTAAACATAAATATAAATTTTATATAGTATTTAATGTTATATATGCATATATACATATATATATATATATATATATAGAAAGGGGTGGAGTAGGGGCAGCTGTCCCCATTGTCATCATACTAGCTCCGTCCTTGGGCACTAATTTTAATTTAATTCCAGTTCCAAGGTCTCTCTCTAACAAGAACTTTATATCAAGACAACAAAGAAGATTTTGCAGAAATTTGCAAAAAACTAATATGTTTTTCTGTTGTTATGTTTAAGTATCTTGGCTCATGAATATTGTTTGTTTTGGTATGAAATTAATGTTTATTATTTTCTATCTATTGTTTCAGTTTGATACCAAACTGAAAATAGTTGTTTTATATGGCTAATATACCCGAACATTGCAAGAGTTGTTGTTGAGATATAAAAGCGAAGAGCAAAATGCCCCAAGTATGTATTGTGAGTTCATGAAGCGAATAGCAAGTTGCCCTAAAATACTGTTAGTTCTAATTAGGGGTGTCAATCTTAGTTCGAATCCGATAAGCTGGCCCAATAAAATTGAAAATTTTAAGAATTTGACCAAAATCGTTTAACTCTATAAGCTCGAAACTAATACGGCTTGTGGCCCAGAAACAAGCTAGATACAAGAGATATTTCCATAGGCAATACCAGTACTTGGAAGAAATCTAACCCGAGTACTGGCATTATCTCACGACGGTGGTGCACATGTTTGGTATTTTGACAACAAATAGCTTTGAATATTTTAGTAATACACTAATGAGTTTTTGAATGTTACATGTTACTGCTATCGTCCGACTTACTTTACACAAATTAGTGACTATGTTTGTTGACATGTGTTCTACTGTTGAGTTAATGTAACAAACTAGATTACGTTGGGCAACCAATATTCATAAGGATATGTCCGTCCGGGAACAATACAAGTACAATGCAACTATTCGCCGATATAACGATCATAGAGGGATATATGAGGTTGCAATTGAATCAACTTCCACTTCTTTGGACCAACTATGTTATGTTCAACTAAATTTGAGCAACCGGACATGTAGTTGTGGTCGTTGGGCTATAGATGGTTTTCGTTGTGCACACGTCATTACCACAAGCAATTATAGAAGCATTGTCACATGCCACTTTATGCTACAAGTCTTCTCGTTACAATATTACAGTCTGTGTTACGAGGAGAGTTCAATCCATTGTTGGAATGAAGAAGTTTAGATGACTACAACGTTGTGCCTGCCACCCTCTATGCAGCGAAAAGCTCATAGAGGTCAACAACATAGAAGTCAATTTCTTAATGAAATGGAGTTTGGTAGTCCTCGTCGTTGATGATCCATTGCTCATTTGGTAATATACTTGTACTAATGACACGTTTACAATATAAAATTTCATCGCACTACAAATAAGTAACTAAATAAATAAATACTTAATAAAAAATATTTAAAAATATGTTATTACTATAATGCATGTCACCACAATATTTTATCTGTTATTAACTAATATTTAATAAAAGGGAAAAATCGCACTTTTCGTCCCTAAGTTATAGGGTAATTGTAGAATTCGTCCCTGAGTGTTGGTTATGTTCACTTTTCGTCCCTAAGTTATCATTGACGTTGCACTTTTCGTCCATGAGTTATAGAGTAATGTAGAATTCGTCCCTTGGTGTTGGTCATGCTCACTTTTCGTCCCTAAGTTATCATTGGCTTTGCACTTTTCATCACTGAGTTATACTAAAATTCCAAATTGCGTACCTAATCACTATTACATAAATGGTATACTACGTCACTTAATAGACGGGGGTTTTTTAAATAACCACCATCTAATATAATTTGTTATACTACGTCACTTAATAGACGACGATTTTTAAATAACCGCCGTATATACCTTAATTAATGTTTTACGTCATACACTTTAAATAACCACCGGCGGTTTTTTTTATACATACATGGCGGTTTTCAAAGTGTCGTGCGTGTAAGTGATTGCCATTGTAAATATACACTTTCTATGGCAGTTTTGGAAACCACCCTATATGTTAACTATGTACGGCGGGGGTAAAACAATCGCCGTGTATGTGAACTATATACGCTAGTTATTTAAACAATCGTCGTCTATTAAGTTGTATAACACAATATATTAGACGGCAGTTATTTAAAAAACCGCCATATATTTAGTGACGTAGTATACCATTTATATAGTAGTGATTAGGGACGAAATTTGCAATTTTAGTATAACTCAGGGGACGAAAAGTGCAACGTCAATAATAACTTAGGGACGAAAAGTGAACATGACCAACACTTAGGGCCGAATCCTACAATTACCTTATAACTCAGGGACGAAAAGTGCAATGCCAATGATAACTTAGAGACGAAAAGTGAGCATGACCAACACTTGGGATGAATTCTACAATTACCCTATAACATACACTTAATAAAAATTAAACAATCCAATGTAGGAATTTGTGTTGTTGTATTCCTCCTTCGTAACTTAAAAATTAAAGTTGAAAAGAAGAAAATTTCAGCCACCCATTATTTTGTTAAGAATTAGTCCTGTTAGTTTTTATTCATTTTTATTTATATTTGTTTGTTTTTACTTTTTGCCTAGTCTTGGGGAAACAGGTGTAACTGTTCCTCCTTTTGTGGCATTATATGCTATTTAAAGCTCTGTGTAAACTTTGAATAAACACACAACTTCAGATTCTCACATGGTATCACAGCCATAATCTCTAACAAGAATTCCCCCCCCCCCCCCCTCCCTTTTTCTTTTCCAGTCATGGCAGCTACCAATCCCCCAGCCATTGTTCATATTCATGCCCCAACCCATCTACCCATCAAACTAACATCTTCGAACTTCCGTATCTGGAAGAAACAGGTTGAATCCACTCTCATCAGCCGGGACCTTCTAGGCTATATCACATGCATCACTAAAGCTCCGGGTCAGTATTCTGACGAGGCCCGCACCGCACTCAATCCCGCTTACACAACGTGGTTCAAGAAAGATCAAATAATCCTTAGTGCCATCCTCGGTAGTCTGTCAGATGTCCTACAACCGATCATTTCCTTCGCTACCTCTGCCCATGATGCATGGACTCGTTTGTCCGTTAGTTGTGCCGCCGCATCGCGGAGTCGAATTGTTTCGCTTAAAGCTAAGCTTGCCAAGAATCCTAGAGCAAATGGACCATTGATGCCTATATGAGGGATATGCGCTCAATTTCCGATGATTTAGCTCTAGCCAAAAGCCCGGTTTCGGAGGAGGACCTCGTTGTCCACATATTCACCCAGCTCGGTGATGAATACAACTCTATAGTGGCGGCCCTTCATGTCCAAACCGATGCAATTTCGTTTGGGGAACTACATGACGTTCTCACCGACTACGAACATCTGATGTAGGATAATGAGGCTGCCTCCCGTGTCTATATGCCCACGGCCAATGTTACTCAAAGCGATACACTAATACTCAGTCTCAAGGGCCTGCCAGGCATGGGAGAGATGGCTCGAGCTTCTCCAACGAGCGTCAATCACGGAATTTCAGTAACTGGCAAGCCAGGTACTGCAATTACTGTGATTATCTCGGCCATGACACCAAGTACTGTCGAAAGTTAGCCAAGTTCCTGAAGGAGAATGGTGTACCTGTGCTCGAGCCGCAAAACACTTCGCGCCCACCACCTTCAGTTCACGCTATTTCTACTGCCCACACACCTACTCAGTCGTGGCTCATGGACTTAGGGGCTTCCCACCACACTGTGAAATACGCCTTGTCCCTTCACACTCTGAACGACTACACAGGACCTGATGAAGTGATGTTGGGTGATGGTAAGTCCCTTCGCATATGTCACACTAGGTCAATTACATTATCGTCTAAGAGTCGGTCCCTTCATTTATCTGACGTGTTATGTGTCCCAAGTCTACAAAAGAACCTTGTTTCGGTTTCTAAATTGTGTTGTACTAACTCGGCGTCGGTTGAATTCTTCGACATGTACTTCGTTGTTAAGGATCAGTCATCGGGAATTCCTCTCATGCAGGGTCCAGTCGTGAATGATGTTTACACCCTTCCTGTCCGGCTGTAACACCCCTGATTTTCAAGACATTTAAAACTTAATAATAAAGGTAACATCTCATTAAATCCCAAAACGTAACATAAGTGTACGGGGTGCTTTGCCACACCTGGGCTAGAGAACCCAGGTGCACAGGCTGTCTAACTACTATCCTCTGAAATATAAATGCATAATATGGCACGCAGGCCGAAAGGGAAACTATACTACTTCCACCTAGGTCAACGGGATACCAATTCAACTAGCATGCAATATAATAGACTCATAAACCTACGAACGGTACCCGAAATATCAAACTATACATAGGCACGACAACGGGGTCCGTTGGGACACCACGGGGATCGGGGAAACATCAAACGGGGAAGCCGGGGTCCCGAGGGGGGGGGGGATTTCCAGCGGGTAGCCGGTGGGTGGGGGGTCCACCCGCCGGTAACACTGTTCCGGGCAGCGGGTGCCCGGCGGGCAGCTGCCCGCCCGCCGGCTGCCCGCTGCCGGAGCTGCCCGAATTGCCGCAGGTAGGTGGCGGGTCCCCTACCCCCCACCTACCCCCCACTGACTCTTTTCACCACTTTTCGTCCCGAGAACCATTGTGGAACCCGAAACCATGCTTAGACACTTTCCAACGTAATCAACGACAACACATAGACAATTAACGGATCAAATACGGTAAACGAATGGCACATAACCTATCCTGCTTTTCTAATCATAATCAACACCCAAACATGCGAATTCCCCACCCGATAATCCAAGAATAATATCATACGATACAACCTAGGGTTCTAATCACTTTTATATCAACAAGAATACAATTCATCTTCTAATTGCAAGATTCGGTAGGGACAACACATAATCATCAAGGATACCAATTAATCATCAAAACATCATAATCATCAAGAACAACACATAATCATCAAAACCCCAATTAATCATCAAGAACATCATAATTATCAAGAAACTCCCAATATCAAGATTATCGAGGTTCCTCATGGAATCATTATATCGACATCAATAATAATCATCATCAATCGCCATTTACAACAATATGGGGGAAACCCTAAGGGGAAATCATAGCTATGAAAATAGGTTTTGTTGAGACATGGGTTACCTCTTAGCCTTAATTAATTCCTTGGCTATGAAGGATCTTTCTTTAAGCTTTCTTGCTTTCTTGATTTCTTCTAAGGGAATTCTTGGAGCTCTCCTGGGGTGACGGGGCGTCTAGGCGTGTGGGGGGTTCCGGGTGTCTCCTAAGTTCCCTATTTATATATTTAAGACTCCTAATTAGGGCCTGAATGGTATGGGTTTACTAATTCTATTCCTTATAGGCTTAAGCCTCTAATTTAGGCAAGGGTCCACGGTTCACGGTGGACCCTATTAATTAATTAAAGGGGAACTTAACATAATTAATCGTATTTAATTATTATTAGCGGGATTAATTAACTAATTAATCCAGGATTAAAGGCCGTAACACGGGGTGTTACACTCTCCCCCCCCTTACAAGGGGCTTCATCCCCGAAGCCCGGTGTCATAGTCCACCCTTTCACCCCTAGACATCCCGTAGTTTGGCCTCCTGGGTAGGGGTGTGGCCCTACGTTTGTCTTAGTTTGGGGTAGGCTGTACTTTTGGTGGCATTGTGATAAAGAAGTTATGGGTGTACCTCGGTTTCCTGCGCTGGAACTGGGCGCCCCACGAGTGCCCAAGGCGGCCTCGATCGCTGCCACCCTCTGATCGAGTGCGCGTGTGGTGCGAATCAAGGATGAGAACCCTTCTTCCATGATTTGGTTTTGCCGGTTGAGCTGTGCGAGAATGCGCTCATTGACCGAGCTCTCGTTTTGATCCCTCGGGTCCCTTCCGGATCGTGGTTGCACTGTCGGGTCGGGCCCGTCATCCTCCTCCTGTTCCTCATTTTCTTCCGTGCCTCCGCAATCTTGCATGGCCCGCTTGAGCTTTTTGTTGGAGATGTCCAATCGATCAACCAATTCTCTACGTTCCACCTCGAGTTTTTGGCAAATTTCTTCGAGGGTGAGATAGTGTCCTCCCTCGGTGTAGTAGATGTCGTTGCGGCGGAGGTTTTGGGCATTGAAAACCATGCCATTGGCGGTCTTGACTTCGGTGTGGCTTAGGTCTACCCCCTTCTTCTCCATGATCCAACTTAGGATCATCCCGTAAGGTAGGCTAAGCCGGTTGCTTGTTTTGCAGAACTCTATGTGCTTTAGCATGAGTGCCGGCAGGTTGAACTTGATTTTATGTTTTAGGAGATACGCAAAGGTGCACTCCAAGCTCCCTACATCCTTGCTCTTGTTATTGGTGGGTAAGAGGCTATCGGTTATCACCATAACCAATATCTTTTGCTCCGCCGATAGCCACTTCCGGTTGGGTCGAGTAGCCGAGGTGAACCCGTCCTCTTTCCCGAGTAAGTACCCGAGATAGTCCTTGTATCCCGTAGTTTGAGTATCAATCCACCCCTTTCGGTCATAGTTAGACACACCCGTGGTGGTCAATTTCAAGAGCTTGGCCAACCGGCCTTCGGAAAGCACAATTTCCTTGCCACGGACCTTGGTGGTCACTTCTACTTTGTCGCCCCGTTTGGTGGCCACAAGGTGTTGATAGAATTCCTTCACCAATTCGGGGTACGTATCCCCTTTGATGGTGAGGTATGTATCTAGAAGGCCTTGGTATTTAAGCATATCAACCAATTCCGGAGAAAATTGGTCGGGTTCAAGTGCTTTACCTCCGATTACGGTGTAATCGGCGTTGTTCCACTCCGGGGTGCGGATTCCGAGGGGTTTCTTTTGCATCGTAATACTCGTTTGACGGGCGTGTCTGCCGGCGATCTTTTCGGTGAGGCGGTACAATTTTCGGCGGGTTTTTCGGCGAGGCGGCGCGGTTCTCCGGCGAGTTCTCCGGTGAGGCGGCGGCGGGACTTCGGCGTATCCTTCGCTCGCGAGGCCGACGCCGGTGAGGTGGGGACCGATTCTGGTGCGGTGGGGGTGCGGTGGCGCTGTGGGGTCGGCTGGGCAGCGGGTTGTAGCCGGGCGGCGCTCGGGTGGACGGCGGGTGATCTCCGGCGGCTTGGTCTGGACGGCGGCGAGGCGGGGCGGCGTCGCCGGGGAGTGGCCAGGCAGTGGCGGCGTCCGTTCGGTGGTGATGGGAGGTGGCTGCTATGGTGGGGCAGTGGGGTGTGCGAGGGGGAGGAGAAGAGGGTGTGGGGAGGAAGAAGGAGAAGAAAAAGAAGAAGAAGAGGAAGAAGGGTTTTTGATTTGGGGATTTTGTGGTTTTTAGGGATTTGGAGGGGTTTTAACAAGGGAGTATCCCCTTGAAGTTTCAAGAAACATTCATGGGGTAGTGGTTAAGGCTTTAACTTGTAGATGAGAGGTCTAAGGTTCCATTCTTAATGGTAACATTAGGCATTCCTTGATGAGGTGATTTTTGTCCTTTTCCCTGTTTCGTCTTTTAGTGAGGAAGGGTTGGGTGGATGGCATAACTTGTGTTTTACTTTCGTAGCGGAATTGAAACTTGAACGAAAATGAATCTTTATTCATAATACTTTCTAAGTAGCTAAGTTAAGTGGACATAATGCTTCCGAAGTAATTAAACTAAGTAAGTGGTCGTCATGACACAGGGAACGGCTACAAAGGGGTGATGGCTTATCCTAGACAGAATTCGCTTTTGGGATTTTCTTCGGCGGGGTCCGTATAGTCCTCGTCTTCAGGGTTTGGGTTTTCCCCTCCTAGGTCTTCTTTGTTTCCGAGGTTGGCTTGCGTTTGGCTCATGACGAATACTTTTCCAGAAGCGCCGTAGCCTCCTTGATGACCGGTGCCCCCGTGTTGGCCCACAGTGGCGAGGCGCGGTCTTTGGGGTCGAGTGCACTGGAAGGCCTTGTGCCCCTCCTCTCCGCAGTTGAAGCATCGCCAGGGGTTGCCTGCGCAATCCTTGCCCCTATGGCTTTTGTTGCATCTCGGACAAGGGAAGCTCCTTGGATTAGCTTCGTTGTTTCCCAGGGTTGGTCTTTGGTTGGTCGGGTTGTTCGTCCTTGTGCCGGTGTCGTTTCTCGTTCTTTTCACTGGCGGTGCCCCACTTCCGGTGTTTCTTCTTCGTATTTGTTCATGAACCCCGCGTTGGAGTAGTTGGATCCGATAGAGATTCGCGGCACTGGAGTAAGCCTCGTTGAGGGTCCGAGGTCTGCTTACCACTAGCGCCTTTCGAGCTTCGAAGTTGAGGCCCGACACGAATCTCTCTATCTTGGTTACCTCGGTGGGGACTAGCTTTGGCGCGAAGCGTGCCAGCTCGAGGAATCGTTTATGGTATTCTATGACGGTGGCCGTTCCTTGTTTTAGATGAAGGAACTCTTCGTACATGGATGCCTTCACGTGGGTTGGATAGAATCTCTCTCGTAGTCGTGTCTTGAGGTCCTCCCAATTGAACCCCGGTTCTTGTTGATAGGTGGGTCCCTCGTGGATCCACCAGAGGTCGGCCTCGTGCCCGAAGTAGAACGAGGCTATCTCTACGCAGCGTTCCTCTGGGCATTCCACTACTCCAAAAGTCTTATCAAGCGTCCGGATCCATTCTTCTAGGACTGCGGGATCCTCTTCTCCCGAAAACGTGGGTGGTCGGTGATTTGAGACTTGTCGGGCGACGTCCGAGTTTGCGTTTGAGGGAGGCGGTGGGGGCCTGTTGTTGCGAAGGGCCGCGTCACTTAGTGCCTGTGCGACCTGTGTTAGTTGCTGTAGAGTTTGGGTTAAGGGGTCATTAGTGGCGGGTTCCGGAGTCCTTGATTGCCTTCTGTTCGGTGCCATGCTATCGTCTTTCTGGTCAGTGTTTATAAGAATGTTAAGTTAGAGTTCGATGCACTTCTGGTGAAGTGATAAGTGGGGAAGGGTTTTAGAATGGGGAAGGGCAACGTGTAGGGAAGTTATGTGTAGGTCTCACAATCTCACCGCGCGTCCTAAGATTCCTGAGCCCTATGTTCCTAGGTACCTAGAGTTCAAGCCTAACGTCCTAAAGTCCGGTCTTAAGAGTCTTTTCCTATGGTCAAACTAAGGCTCTGATACCAACTGTAACACCCCTGATTTTCAAGACATTTAAAACTTAATAATAAAGGTAACATCTCATTAAATCCCAAAACGTAACATAAGTGTACGGGGTGCTATGCCACACCTGGGCTAGAGAACCCAGGTGCTATCCGACGTGTTATGTGTCCCAAGTCTACAAAAGAACCTTGTTTCGGTTTCTAAATTGTGTTGTACTAACTCGGCGTCGGTTGAATTCTTCGACATGTACTTCGTTGTTAAGGATCAGTCATCGGGAATTCCTCTCATGCAGGGTCCAGTCGTGAATGATGTTTACACCCTTCCTGTCCGGCTGTAACACCCCTGATTTTCAAGACATTTAAAACTTAATAATAAAGGTAACATCTCATTAAATCCCAAAACGTAACATAAGTGTACGGGGTGCTTTGCCACACCTGGGCTAGAGAACCCAGGTGCACAGGCTGTCTAACTACTATCCTCTGAAATATAAATGCATAATATGGCACGCAGGCCGAAAGGGAAACTATACTACTTCTACGCTCCAGTTCTAGCGCGCTCCAGTGCTCTAATCCTCTGTGCCTGAAAGCCAAATATATCTGTTCAGCGAGAGATGCTG